AGTCACGGTATGTGTGTGTGTGTGTGTGTGTGTGTGTGTGTGTGTGGTCTGTCTATTCCTCTTCCAAATGGATGGACCTTTCCTTAAAGGTCAGGCTGCGACACCACTCACATGCACAATATTACTACAGACCTCTGGTCAAAGGAGCACAAACACAAGCAAAATTATGGGTTTTCTACTCTGTGCTAACCATAAAGTTAATTTTTTTATTAATAATTCAAAAAGGAAATTAAACTAAATTCAAAAAAATTATCAAACAACATACAATAATTGAAATTGATATCCACAGGTTGAAGGTATGCTGCACGCCACTTTCATTTTACTTGTTGTGCTGCCAACAAATATTTTTTATCTTATATGGATAGGGAAGGAGCTACATCCTGTGGTTCTTATCAACCCAATCAATGGCTACATGTGGAGTAGATAAGTCACAAATCTACTTTAATCTCTGGTCCACTACTGAAGTGTAATATATCTGACTGTAACCTAGAAATAAACTAAAGAAAACTACAAATGAAAAAGTGGCTTTCTTTCAAAAGACAGAACACTGTCATTTTAGCAAGAAAGCAATTGTTTTCTGGATGTAATTCAGCATTTGTTTCTGTCTTGCTGGCAATCTGACCCTTGAGCTGATCCAAATCTTCTCAGAGCATACATCCCAATCTCTCTTCAAAGAAAATGTGTGATACAATTTTCTAAAACATCAGGACTCCTTGTTTCATAAAATCAGGTCTCACCTCTGGTTTCCACAGTGTACAAAAATATAAAAAGCAACATCGGTAGCATATTTTCTAATACCTCTCTGCATACACACAGATTTAACTTGGTCTTTGCTCTGTCCAGGCACTAGGGTTTTTTTTTAATGTGTCTTTTAAATCCTGTGTAACTCTTTTGTGTCCTAAAGAGGGATTAGACTTCTCATTGTATGATTGCTCATCCAACAATAATCCGCACACAGACTGGAGAGAGGAAAAAAAAGAAGGAACAATCAGGAAGAGAGAGAAAGGAAAAGTCAGATTACACATCATTCATAGACGCATCACATCACTCCTGTGGTGTGTGTCCTCAATATGCTGTCAACCCTGACTCTAAACTTTAAAATGCAATTAATGTGGCCAATGAAACCAAAATTTAATTAATGTGCTGAACTGGAAGCACTAATCAACTAATGATATAGGTTTGTTAATTTCATTTTGTCCAGACAGGAATTACTCACAAATGAGTCACCAGAAATTTGCACATACCAATGATTCCAATACTGTAATCCTAATGACATTTGTGTCCCTTGACACCCCCTTAGAATTACGTTCTCATTTGACTCTCAATATATGATGTAATTTAGTGCAAACATTCATGGGCCCCTCAGAGTAGATAATAATCATTACGGCAAACCATTAACTTGTATTTGCCTCAAATTTGCTCCTTAGCACATTTCTAATCAGGTACATGGGAAAAATAAAAGAAAAAAATCAAATTAGCATCGCCACAATTAAGTATTATGATGCCACAGTAAGACAAAGAAAGATGGCAAACATTTTTTGGTTGCTGTTTTAATTCAGCCTTGTATATCTATGATTATAAGTGCTTGTAAGGTGAAATGGTAATGGTAAATCTAGAACATACAGACTCACTCTATAGCTATAAGAACTTGGTACTTACACAGTATTTCATAGCCAATAACTTCTTTCTGAGGTAACCTTAGCAGAGAGACTATAGTTTGCCACTCTTATTGAATGTGAATCAACATTGCTGTCCCTCAGAAATAGTCATACATGTTGCCCTGGGTTGCACATCACAAAAAAAAACCCCAACATATATATCTGACATTTTATTTCAGAGTCATGTGATGTATAAACCTCTCTGTACAGGTTGGTTTATTTGAGTCCTTTGGTGTGCGTGGCATAACATACGAATCACTTGTAAAACTGCTCCTAGACTGAAGAACAAAAATGACAAATCTATAGAAAAGGGTTATAAATGCTTTAGATTTCAAACAAAGCAGACGGTTGTGGGCAGACATATTTGAGGATAAAAGAACAGGCCTTGCGGCCTGTATTCAGACACACACACACACACATATATGTGTAGACAAAGCAATTAATTTTTCTCTGGGCATTGGATGTACTGTGTTCAACACCCTTATTTAAAACTCCAGGGGCCAGCGTTGGTGTATCCCTGGTAACATCGCAAAAAATAACACACTGTCTCCTTATGAGGCCCCGCTGTCTCAGATACACACACTCACACACAGTAACAGGTCATTTTTGGAGACTTTAATATACATCTATTTTCGGGACCCTATCTACAAATTGTGTCTCAGGAGTAAGAAGCTGTCTCCCATCTGGCTGTATCACGATCTGGTACTAGTATAGGAAAGAATGTGCCAACACCCTGATCAGTGAGCCAAGACTTTAACCCACTAATATGAGCGCATGAGCTCAAAATTACAATCATATTAACAACCTCAATGTTTGCGTGTTTGTCACATTTTACTGACCGACAGGTCTGAGATCTTAAAATTACAACAAATTTGGAGGAAAAAAAAAAAAAGCATCCCTGTTTTTCAGAGATTCCTTGGAAGCCAAAGGATGGTCTAGCTATCACTTTCCGTATAGTCTACCTACTACTGTGTGAAAACAGAAATATGGTCCTAAGAGACATGATATTATTTGCATTCAAGAAGTCCTTGATATAATTTAACAATAAACATTCACAGTCCCTCTGTGTTCTGCCCATCCTATTAAAATCGGTCTCATAAAATGCTCCAAATTGTCAGCATCACTGAACTGTGCAGTTTTTTTCTCTCCAAATGTTACTTAAGGGGGGTTACCATCTCCAGACCTGTCACAAGACACAGCTTAGTCTTTTGCTTGAGCCTCTGCTCTACTTTAAGTCTCCTGCTCTCCCACTCCACAGTACGTTTGTCACTGTGTGTCTTTGGTTTGATAAAGTGTATGTCAGAGTGTCTGACAATGGAACTACCAGGTCACATCACCTGTCCACAAGGTGTGTTTCTCTCTCCTCTACACCGCAGCTGCTCATCTCCACATCAGCCCCTGTGCTCTGGACACCTGTCTGCACAGCTGCCTCTTATTATCTCATTACCTCATGTACAAGTAATTACACTGTGGAGCCTACTTGTGTTGTGCTATTTTACAGTTCCCTAACAGGGAATTCTGGGTAAAAAAAAAAGTGCCATTAGTGCTTTAGAATTATTTTGAAAAATAGAAATAAATGTAACAAAGCAATTTACCCTATATTAACAACAGTACTTTGTTATATAGTCTGCGTATCTTTGCTTTGATATTTATTTAGCGATTCACAATCTGACACCCCTGCAGTAAAATCTCCAACCATCTTTGTCTCATAAATCCACAACCTACCACCAAGTACACCTCCAGTTAGTACTCCCTGCCCATTTTCATCATCACACTGCTCAAATTCTTTGCATATCAGTCACTCAAATGACTTCTGTTCCAAAAGAGTACATCATAGCACTTCTGACTTATGTCTCATCAACCTCGTCTACAACTGCTATCTTTCTGTGACACATAATCATTTTTGTCACTCGTCTCCAGCCACTCCACTCATTTTTATCTTTTTGTGCTCTGTCAATTGCTTTGGATGATGGACTCCAGATGTACTGTATAAAATAATCTACTCTGACAACCTTGTTCTTCAAACTCTGCACATGTATATTTCTCATTCACAACTTCAATATTTTTACTGGTCTAAGTTAATAAAATAGGGCTTTGACACAAGACCAGTACCTCTTGCTGAGAAGAGTATTGACATTTATTTGTCCAATACCAGTCTTTTTTCAGTAACTGCAATGGAAACAATGTGCATAAATCTGACATTTTCCCCAAACATATGAAACAAATACATTCTAATGACCTGAATTAATTAGGTTGTTGAATGACATTTCTTATAACTGATATTCCAGGCCTATATTTACGTCAACATTGCATCAATAACAGTTTTCACTCAAACGTTGATCCCCATAGTTAAAGATAAAAAGTCCCATTTGATCATCTCATTGCCTGTGATTTCTTTATTAAAACCATGATAAATTACATAAATCATAAGCCTTTACGTTTTTGAAAGCTATCTGGCCAGAAACCCCTCCTCTCCTCTAAAATGTCCATTAAGAATTGAACAAACACAACACACACCCATGGTTTTAAACTATAGTCAGACATCAGCATTTTTCATAGCACTTCCACTCTGTGAATACAAAAGGAGCCAAATATGCAGAAAAGGCTTAAAAAAGACAGATGCACAGCACAAACTGGCCTTTTTCTCTCCACTTTTTGGAAAGGCAAACAATGCTTTCCTAATTTAGAAGGTTAACTATTGAGTCAAATGCACTAAGATCTTACAAAGTCTCAGTTGTTATGACAACAGGTAAAATAACCCAGAGATATGGAGAGAAAATAAAAACAGCAGCAAGATAACCAAAGACTGGGCCACAGCTACAAGGTCTTAAACAGAATGTATGCAACAAGAATTAATGTCTACTTGTAATCACGCATCAGAGACATCCCATATCTCAACAGTCATCAGTGAAGATGCAGTGCTCTACTGAGTTAACTCCAAACTCATTAAAAGCTCATTTCCCCCTTTCCTTTACATCTCCACTGAGGAGCTTATTTATTCATTGGAAACTACTGTCCTCCAGATACATCTATATAGTGTTGGGTTTTTCCCACAACATATCATAAAATTACTGTATCAAAAACTATTCAACTAAAGTGTAATAAACTCACACATAGGTCGCAACACTTTACACAATTTACTTTGTCTTGCTAACAATAACAGTATTACTAATTTATTAGTTATCTTTTGTTTTTGCATCATGAAAGAAACAATGTATTTTTTGAGATTCAGAAGTATGCATGAGATTTAAATTGTTTAATTTTTTTTTTTAGACTTTTAGACTTGTTTTTTCCTCTTAGTATCTACAATAATACCATGTGTCTGCACAAATAGTGACTTACTTCTGTTTCCATCGGTCCTTTCAGGTCAAGTTCAAACCAGGCATGACTGCTGACGACATCTCATATACAGGACCATATTGCATGAGTGCCATAAGAAGCCGACCACCTCCGCATGGATCTGCTCTCCTAAAAGGCAGAAAAAAAAAAATACAAAGAGTAGATTGAAAAAGTATGTGGAAGGTCTCAGTCATCCAGGTCAGCTTATCTGAGTTGTTACATCAAGGGCAACTGGACAAATGGCTTTTTCAAAACTGAAGAGCACAATTTGTTTTTTTACATGTTGAATTAAGTGTTTTAAATTGTTTTCATGCTACCTAGACACTAAATGAACTTGAACAACATGGTGCGTTGAAATATGCCTTTGTCAGCAACAGAAAATAAACATTAATCCAGTCTTCACCCCTGTTAAATGGCTAACACTGAAGAAAACACATACCAGTACAAAATAATTATTCACCTATGATAACTTAGCCTAAAGTCAACTTAGCCACTGAGGGATTGGATGTTGTGCCCAAAGTAGATTGAATTTTCAATTATTAGATTTGTTCGCTTATGTGCTGTGATCCTGGACAATATTCCATGTGAACCAGGCTCGCAGTGGTTGGGTGTAGACGGGAATTAGGAAATCAAGCCACAAAGGGTTGTGACTATTTCCGAACCTATCCACATGGTAAGCAGAAAGGAATTAATCCCTCAACGGCTGTCCGACGCCATACGCTTTGACAGATGTGCTTTCACTGTAATGCATAGCAACGTAAATGGGTTCATTTTTTACTAATGTATGCTGCTTAACATTTAATAGTGATGGACGAGGAAATATTCTGTGGGTCAAAGAACTGACTGGAGGGCAAAAACAAAGAGACGTAAATTCTGTTGACAGGCACATTGAGGGAAATGTTGGAGGAAAGGCACTTTTAAAGTAACTTTGGACACAGTTCATGTTAGGTGAGCAACACAATTCATTGAGACAATGGACTTTTTCTATGAAAAAGAAATTAGAACCCTCCATATCAGATAGATTGTATGTCCAGAAATTATTATTATATATGTCAGGTAATATTTGCACCATGTATCAAAATAGAACCTTTATCCTTGATGACAAATACACAAAATATGTGTGAACTAGACTGATGCCACATAGCTGACATGCAGACAGTTAAATGAATCTACTTTCATGTGATGGTTTTGTTACATGCTGGACAAAATAATCTACTGATGGTTTTGTTACATGCTGGACAAAATGAACTGTTCTTGGTTGTAATATTTAGATTTTTGGATTGCATTAATATTCATACCTATAGTAGAAAACGGTTGACGTCAGTAACCTGACCCTGAAGAGCTGCTTCATCTTACTGCATGTCAAATAATTACAGCATTTCTGCTGACAAATGACACTGCTCTCAGTCCACACCTCTTGTCTAACCCTTTTGCTTCTTCTACTCTGCTGCTCCTTTCAGCCATTTATCTCAAGGGCATTTTCTTTTAATAACTGTTGAGACAGAACTCTAAATGGATGAAAGACTTGCATGGAAGGGTGACAAAGATTGCAGTAGCGAGCTGACACATCTGGCCACAACCAGCACACCCATTTGTCCTGAGATGTTCTCTTTCTTTTACCATTTTCACTTCTTAGATCCTGTTTCTTTTCCCAGCTGAAGGAGCTCGTGTCATAATCTGGCAGACACACCAGGTTTACCATTCACGTCCCTACTAGCCACTTCATTTTTGGTCAAAACTGCATATATTTTAAATTTGCACTGCCATAATATTTGCATATTTATACATAAAAAGCAGTGTTTGTTAACACTACATATTAATCCTGCTGCTTTCATGTTCTTCCCTTTTACTATTATCCGTAAACTTGTGTCATTCCTTAAATATCCCTCGGCTTTTCTTTAGGGACTGAAATTATGCCGGTGATTTTTTCTGTATTGTAATGAAACCTTTTTCTCATAGAAGAAGGATTTCCTTTGAATGTTTTCCACTGTTGTTGTTGTGTACCTGACCTCCTCCTCTATAACTACGCCTGTATTCTGACTCTGTTTCTTTACAAACTCCAACTGGCATTGCTGTCCCAGACATCCTTCTAACCTAAGCAAAGACCTTTTCCACTACTATTCCCTGCTCTTCTTCATCTGCTGTTTCTGCTGGCACTGTACTCCTAGCTGTTCTACCATCCTTTTTTGTCTTTTATTTCTTCTTTAGCCCTTTTTCCTCCTTGTAATTAAGTGTAGTTTATAACAGTTATTGTGCCAATATGCATTTACCTTGAGAGTTCTGCTTTTTCCATCTTTGGAACCCTGAATGCAGATACAGTACAACAAATTATTTGTCAATTCTGTTTCTAAAACCCAGTGATGACTTTATTTATTTACACAGCTGTCTGTTCTGCATTATTTTCCCAATACCTTATTTCCTTTATAGCTTTAATAAAAGTCAGCTTCAAACCAATCACTCAGAAAAGCAGTGGCTTTACTCAAATAAGTGCTTACGAAAAGCCAGAAACTTACCATCAATGCAACTTATAAAAACAATTTAAAAACCTAACATTACACACCATAGTGTGACCTTTGTCATTCTTAAATTTCTCTTACATTAATCTTAGATTTTCTTTATTTTTGGGTTGATTATTTTTCTTCTCTTTTATTTTGTTCCATTTATCTTCATAACTCTGTTATTTCTTTTCTTTGACAGATAATCACTTCCAGATTTGTTACTTTGTCTTTCTAAAACCCTCACTGTGACTTTCACCATGATCTAATACAAGTCTATATATTTCATTCATATCGCATCCTTTTCGGTGACACTATAGACCCCATGTTGATCCATCAAAGCACTTCAAACGTTAGCATGGCTTCAATATGCAAATCATGTGCTAAACTAGGATAGAATTGAATGGTACTCTGAAGTCATATGCAGTGTTTCTGATAGACACCAAAATTGTGCACATTATAACACACATGGGAACCTCATAATGACTGGCTATAGGCACCAGGGCTTGATGAGCACAGTGTCTTATGTGTGTTGTGTGCACATATGAGCAGAAGCACATGGACAGAGATACTCTGCACACTGACCTGGGGTTGAACTGAGGAAGATTGCAGCCATCTGTCTGGTAACTTCATTTTCTATAGGAGAATAATGCGGTGATTAATGAATAGATGAAAAGCAAAAGACTTTGAGTGCAATGGAAGATGGGGGCACATACAGAAACCACCACTGACTGGGAGGGGAAATATAAATATAAAGGGGAATATAAAGTGAGTCAGTGAGAGGGTGGACAAAGATAATCAGAGACAAAGATGATGAGAAAGATGGATGTAATAATGATGACAAAAAAGGAAGAAAGGAAAAAAGAAATAATTTTCTCTCTGTCCACTTATAGCTTTTAATGCTGATTGGTTCTATGACCTATGGGCCAAACCTCTCCTGGTGCTATTAGAAACAGAATTCCTGATGGGAAAAATATATTGGAGAAAAAGGCATCAGGAATTTGAACAGAGAGGTGATAGAGATCCTTTGTGGCCCTTGTCAGGGTCAAGAGCAGAAATGGTTTGGACTCTGTTATCCTCACACGACACAGGTGCTAATATGATTTAATGAGCCTTGGTCCCATGGTGACAGAATACATGTAGTCATTTCGGGCTCCACATGACAGTCGTGCTAGTATGCTGTAATGAGGCCAACTCCCTGGAAAGTGACTACATTTTTCTCAGTTTGGGTCCTGTGATAACGTAAGTGCTAATATGTAATAATGAGGCAGAGAGACAACATTTAGTGGTAAGATTTTTTACATAAAGAGCTGTGGTAACAACTAATGAGCCTCAAGGTCTCAACATGATGCAATACTATGTTCTGGTGTTTCACATAGGGTGTTTAAATGAGTCTGACTCAGACTCAATGCTTTAATCCAGTTATTTCTTTTTTCAGGTTAAATAAAAAACAATAATAAACCAGGGGAAAGTTAAATGCCAACTGCCTCAATAATACAGCCTTTAAACTTTGATAAGTCATACAGGAAAGTAAAATAAAATATTTTACAGAGAATCAGCTAGTAAATCTATAAAAAACAAATGGGCAAAATCAGAAACAGCAAAGAAGGAAGATTGTCATCAAGATCAACCAACAAAAATCCAAAGAAAACACAACAAAATTATTTATAATTCATATGCCTATATGTACGTGTATGCGTGTAGGTTATTCCATGTGTGTATTGTTTAACTGTAAACTAAACCAATAAATAATTTATAACAGGATGTGAAGGCATGTTTTCATTTGATTACCCTGCCACAATTCTTTTTTTAAAGGCTGCCAGATGACCCTGGACTTTGATTGAATATTGATAGAACTTTATGATTGTGTTCCCCTGTAAAGGTTGTGGATGCATTGTCCAGACTCTGGGGATCTGTGCTCTGTCACATGAAACAACTCAGAATATAAATAAGAGCTGGAACAAGCTTCATAGCTTCAGATAGAAAGTGTGTTGGAGAACAAGACAGTGAGAAGTCGGGGCATGCTGTTGAATCATTTTTGTTTGTTTGTTTGTTTGGACTGGATAGAAAAAAAGCAGAGGTGTAATTCCTTTAAGTTCTTGTAAAAACCTGTCTCTGACCTAAAGCAGAAATGACTTATTTAAATAAAATGGTTTTATATATAACATTCTGACATCTTTTAAGAATGTTTTTCTGACAACCTATCACATAGTATACATGCACACGACCACATTCAAAGCTGTGCTGTTACTAACTGCAAGCCAGTTTTATAATTATGTTCCACAATTCCACTCTGTCCTTCTGATGAAAATCAGCTTCAAGACGAAAGCTGTATGCGAATCATGCCGTGTTTGTGTGTCTGTGAGCGTTTGAATATCCGTGTGTGAGACAGAGATAATCAGATGCCAACTGAGTCGTGAAAGTGATTGCTGTGGAGCACAAAGTAAGAGTATGAACAATCAAAGTAACACAGTACTTACCACCATCACAACTGTGAGCACACACATTTATACATACGATGGGTATGATGTAAATGATGCCAGTGGATTAGGTCTAAGATTCCTTTGGGAAAGTAATTATTTACTTTTGATCATTATTATTTTAGACAGTCAGATATTCTTATATCTTGGCACTACCCCATCAAATTAGACTGTTAGAGATAAAGTGTAGACCATAGCTATTTCTGCTTTAACATGTTTTTCTTTGCCAAAAACCCATTACTCTTTAATTTTTGGAAACTTGTGAGACCACACCAACAAGAGCAAATTGTTTAAATTTGAGGTATTCCTTTGAAAAATTATTTTTCAAACCAGATAATAACATCAGTAAACATAGGCTGGAGACTTTTCAATTTGAAATCCATCCACTGCATATCAAGTCGACATAAGTATAATTAACACTTAATTTCATTAATAAAAACCTGGCGAATGTGATTTGGGACAAACCTCTCTTTAGGAGAATGGTTACTTATGTATCAGAAAGGACCCTGCAGTAGCTTAATTTTAATAAGACCACACATCCCCGTGTGGTCTTGACTACATAAGTATTTGCAACCTCCTTGTTGTTAACCTCTTTTGCATGAGGATCTGACATGACCCAGGCTCGTTTTTCTATGTACATGAATACCCAGAGGGATCTGCACTGTCACAGGTCACACTCCTTACACCGTTCCTGTATTCTTTCTTCCACCCCTCATTAAACACTTGTTAGGGGACCTCAATTTAGAGCAGATAATGAGCAGTGATCAATTAGGACAGAAGATAACAAGGAAAAATGTGACTTGGTAGACAACACCTGAGAGCCACTTCACACAATAATGAGGGATTGCTTAGAGAACAATGACTGAGCTTCAGGACATCACATTTCGCTGATCAGCAGACCAGTATTTAAACGGATTGCGTTGGCTGTCTTTAACTCACATGCACAAAGAAAAAAAAAATCTACTAAAGTCTTACTACTACTAGGATGATACCTTACACCTCCCTTGGGAACCAGAATCCAAAGCTTGATGAATGTTGGCACCATATCAATAATAAAATAATAGATGCACTGTGGCAGATAGCGTTGGAATAAAACGATATAAAAAACTTGCCTTTTATTAAGCTAGTATCTTCTGTAAAATATTCTAACAGTCTCTAATGCTAAAAAATATTAAGATTAAATAACTGTCTTAAGATTTTAACTCTTCAGTAAATGTATTCTACTTAATAATAAGGTATCCAACATGGACCTTGGTAGCCGGGCTTTCCATTTAATCTTTCCTAACACCTTGACCTAGTAGCTCAAACATTGACTGAGGTTACAGGGGCCTTCTGCATGTTCTCCTTGGATTCAATAATGAAATAATGCACTACATTTCTGTATGGCAGACTATACATCCATCTAACACCTACTCCCATGGGTCGCACAGGAAGCCATGGCTAATCCCAGGTGACAAAGAACTAAAGGCTGAGTGAACCCTAGACAGGTTGTAAGGTCCACCGCACAGAGACAAGCGTTCACACACGTTACACCTGCTTCATTACCAGATTTATGTGTTTAAATAACCAAATAAATTTCATATGCAAGACATTTGAATATTAAGAAAAGCTGCAGTACTCTAAAAAACACAAGCACACACAGAAGCTGGATATGAACAAGCATGTGCATTCATAAAAAACATGGTGATTTTTGCAATTTTATGCAATCAATATAAATCCCAAAATTGAGTAAAAGTTGACTTGGCAGTTAGTCAAGTTATACATGTTTCATAAAGATCTTTTTATTTGTCATATTGACTTTTCCTCATACAGTATATACACTGCAGAGGCCTGCATGCTATCCATTCACTACCTGGCATTTTGTGACTCATTCCTGCAATCCCTTGAATATTTACATTCCAAAGCAATCAGTTTTTCTTTAATCAATTCCTTTTTCCCCGGCTGCTGACAGTTCAGGCAGCCAAATGTGTAAGAGTTGACACGGCTGACATCATGACATTTTGACAGAAACATAAAAAGATGTTCAGATGTGATCTGGCTGTGAATAAGCAATGCCTCCCAAGTCCTGGCTCTGATTCTTGTCCTCATTCTGCCCAAACAACAACCCTATTTTTACCTTAGGATATAACAAGTCTATTGATGTTAGAGTAAACAGTTTTTTTTTTTGTCATGATTGCAGATTAAGGGAACTAAGTCAGCATATAAAGACTGCTATTCAGCTTAAAAAAATCAGCATATAAACTATAACTATAGACTATAGACTGCTATTCAGCTTAAAAATGAACATAAATACATTTAAAGAATTATATAAACATGAATTTATGTAAATATCACTTTACGTTTACTCTTGGAGTCAGAAGCATGTCTGTTTGTCTTTCTGTAAAGTATGGATTAGTGTGGTTTGCATTGTGATGCCATAACTTACCAACTCAGATGGTTGTGGTAGGTCGCAGGTGATGTTATAGTGTGTAAAGGCCAGAGATCTGGTGCTGCTCCATTTTCAGCAGCATACTGGGTCCAAATGTACCCTGAAAAAACAAAGAGCAGGTGAATGGTTTACACTTCTTTGTTGCCTATTCCTCTTTCATAGCAAGTTTGCTTTAATTTATCTGCTAGGCTGGGAAACACTATTTGAAGCCACATATTAAATTTCAAGAAGCTGTGGTAGCTACAAACCAACATTAGAAAATTACAAATGTATCTTGTAATTGATGTTGGAAATGTTTATAGATATCTGTAAACACCACAATTTCTTTTTTTTATTATTATTAGTTCTAGTTCAAATATTTTAACTCAGTGGGTTGTCTCCTCATAGAGGATCCATCCTCATTAAAAGTACAGTGCCTTTACATCTATTTTAGGTGTTTTTATCCAGTTTATCCCTCAGTAGGACAGAGCTGCTGGCACTTCTTAAAAGTGCTAAGTTTCTGGAAAAGAAGTTCTACAGAATTAGATGTTGTGCTTTTGTATTTATTTCTGTTGAAGGTATTATTTTAAGTGCATGGTATAACCTTATACATCTGGATCATGATGTGTTAAGGGAACAAGTCTCCTACAGAGCTTTGTGTCCTGAGATGCACGTCTGAGATGTTTTGCATTAAAACCCACAAAAATGTTTTTACACTTTGGAGCCTCATAGCAGTAGGGGTTTAGTGCAATTTATCTGCAAAATCTGTAGATAGATCTGAATGATGCTAGAGCAGTTGTGGTAATATTTTTCAACACCAGTTTTTTCTTTCTTTCCATTCATTCTGAACTCTGGAACCATTTAAGCCCCCATGCTGTGTGTTGCCTCGAATGCTGGTGCACAGAACAACATCACTGAGAATAGCAGAGAACACAAGTTTTCCCTCAATTCTGACATGTGTCTGTCTTACTTACTAAAGCTGTGCTTCACAAAATGACATCTAGCCAATAAATAAAAGTTTCTGCATACCCTTCCAGTGTGAATAAATGGGAAGGAATTTTCAGAAATTTAAATCTGGCAAGAAATTTAAGTCCTCAAAAACCCTGAGTGGTCAGACATTTCCCAAGGGTTCTAGATTCATAAATTATGAACAGAATGAGTGTTGTTTTTGCTCTACCACCCATTGACTTCACTCAACAGTGTTGCACCTCTCCTTGAACCGCCCTGCCGTGGCTGTGCCCGGCGATCAAAAAGCTCCAGCCTAATACACAAAACATAAAACTAAATAAAACAAAACTATTTTTTTCAGTGGGCCATTTAAATCAATATCAAATGAGGTATTTCAGTAATGCCATTCAAATTTGAGTTCTTCTCCAAGCACTTGTCAAAGTGTCAAACATCTCAGAAAAGACTTCAGAATTCAGGTAGAGGAGATATGTGACGCCTGAGTAATTATTCCAATCACATCCTGCCTGTAATCAATGGCAGAAGGTCAAGCACACACATACGTATAACCACTCAAGCGCACACGTCAGGTTTATACATCATGCATTTACACGTACATCAGGAGAGGCCATTAGTACTTGGCACCATTAGTCTGATACACAAGGCCAAAACTGAATGCAAAGTAGACACAAAACATGTATCACGTGCAAATGTAAAGACAGTGACACAATCTGTGATCAATACCTTGGGTCATAACCCCAAAGATTAACCATATAGAACATCAATAGGCTCATCAATCAAAGAGAATGGCAGGGTCACTTGGGGCGGTGTATGGGAGATAGTGTTTGTCTCTTGTGTATTAACGACAAGTCAGCTCATATTAAAAGGTTATGAATGTGTTCCCCTAACAAAAGTGTATGTGGTTATAAAAATGTCTGTTTCTGTGTGCGTGCATGTGTATGTGCATGCCAGTTCAATCTATAGCAATTGATTATAAGAAGTGTGAGTGTGTGAGGGAGAGGGAGAGAGAGCCCGTGAGAGAGGCTTATTTGCTAATATTTAAAGGTTATAACTAGGTGTGAGATATTGATTGTGTATCTGACCTAGTGCCATTTTAATGCATCAGGGCCTCTGTATGTGTCTAGGTGTCCAATCTACATAGACCACCTGTCCACTAAAAGATGGTGAAGCTGTAAACTTTTATCTTAACACATAAATATTATAATTAACTCTTTGGCACTTCATTATCATTTTGACCCCAGCTGCCTGCACCACATGACCTTTTTATTAAAGGGGACACTGGTTCTGATAAATTAAGTAACACATCAGAAAAGATGATGATTGGTAGCATTTCATCATGAGAGATAATTTACTCTGTGCTCTCTGGGGTCAATGATGAAGAAAATAAAGCATTAGGAGAAAAAAAACTCTTCAAATAATAGTAATTTTTGCTGAGTTCAAGTGGTATTGGAATGATGTGACTTGAAAGGTTATCAGATTTCATTTTATGCAAATATTTTCACTGAAAAACCCATAAAGCCCACACTATATATATATTTACAATATCACGTTTTTAATTAGGGATGAATTATGTATTAGTAAAAACCATTGAATATATATTGTCTATTTCAATTACCGAGTACAGTTTAAGATTAACATAACTAAATATTCAATAACATAACATCTTAGCTGAGGAAATAATTATAAATAAAAAAATAGATAAATATCACTGCACATAAACCTTTTAATGGTGATGTACAATATAATCTATGCATAAAGATCAGGGTTTATTCCAGGGCTGTCCATAGATCTCTTAAAACATTGATATATTTATAGGGAATAAGGGAAATTAATTACAAAACGTTATGTTGAAACTGTACTACATAAGTTTTATTTTTTAGGTAACGTTTGTTTTAGATAACATCAGCAATCATAGGAATCTATTTTTACAAAAGTATAAAAACAAGTGGTTTGAGAGTCATTTGAAAGTAAGCGATTTGGCTCAGCCCTAGATCAGTTAAAAAAACTCAATGGCTCTAGTCTTGAGGTAAAATGCCCCTAGATCAGTTAAAAAAAATCAATGGCTCTAGTCTTGAGGTAAAATGACAGATATACAGTGATGGAAGTGCTACACATCAATTGAAAGTTACAAAAAAAACTAACCTTCTGACTTAAGGCAAGACATTCCTACAAAAAGGTGTTTTTGTATGTATCTTACAAAAGCTACACATGAACTTGAAGTAAGCACAGAAACATTAAAGAATGGTTACAGAATTGGATTCATTTGTACTAAAAATTTAAAATGCCCTTATATGTGATAAAGGGGAACTTCTCCATCTGTGCACATAAATTTCTACAACAGTTCATAGAGGTCATCTTCAATGCTTTGAATTTGATCGTTGAGCGCAAAACAACAGACATTTAGGTCTTACACTTTCAGAGACGCTCGCCTACTCAATCCCTTCCAGGCATAAGAGGTGGCAGGCTGGATCGGTTATTAGGGAGACATTATTCAAACAGTATGGTTTGTTTTTCAGCACTGTGCATATCTGAGTGTAGGTGAAGGAAAGAAATATGCTGTATAATGATCTATAGATCATTATACAGCATATTTCTTATATTTCTTATATAAATATCATATTTCTTATATACATGTCACACAATTAGAAAATAAAAGTCACATAGTTAAATTTACAAAAGGAGACTAGTGCCAACTTAAAAATTACAAGTAAACCCCAGATTTCAAATATTAATAACTGTCACAAATTGTAATACTATAAAGTTTTACGTTGTGAAAGATTTCATTCCTTAGAAAATAAACAAACCATCCATCTCTGCCTGGTTTCTTCCTGTCTACTAGTAGCTCTGACAAATATTTGCAGTGTCATCCATCCTAGAGAGAGGGTGAGTAGCTGTTTGTTTCACTTAAAACAAAGACCTGCAATAGGAAGGGCAACAGAAGCACAGATCCCCAGACTCCCTTTCCACCCATTGCAGGACCTGCTTGAGATTACACTTTCCGATGTCTGTTACAAGAAAATCTTTTGTTCTCTAGGGTCCAAGCATCCAATTAAAAGCTACCTAAAGACTTTGAAAAAATATCAATCAATAAATCACAATATATAAATGGATATCAATACAATTTGATTGACTAATCACTTGAGTTAAACAAAATGTATTTCGTTTGCATGAATACAACTGCCTCATGACAATGCTACACATTCAGCTGAAAAACCTAAAACCTAAAACCTAAAACCTGGTAACCTAAAAAGTACACACAGCAAGATTGTTATAACAGTTTGTTATAGAATAGAGTTTACAGTCATGCATTTTGGTTTCAAGTGATTCATGTATCAAGTGATTTATTCAAAGAGCAAACACTAATGCCTTTGGCAAAGCGTGACCATTGAACAGCAGCTAAATGCCCCACGTTCAGCTGCTAGTCGAGGTCCTAATCAGTGCACTGCATTCTGCTTGGCAGCTCCACTACAGTGGTGCTTTTTCGACATGGAACATCTGCAGCAGCTCCTGAGTGGAGCTCTAATGAGGAGAGTAAATTTGAACCAAACACAAAGTCGTATACTATAAGCCTAAAAAGTTTTAATTGCTAATGTATTTATTTCACCTGATTAGAGGGTATTTTAAAGTCTTCTTAGAGCCAACAATAACTTTGGGTTATTTTTTGTGTAACTAAAGTAAATTGTTTCATTTAACTCACTTGCCAAAGGTGAATAATAACCTCAGCACACCATAAAAGGAGCATTATATCATGCTGTCATGAAGAACCTTTGCTGGGCAAAGATAGAACATCTCATGTTTCTTGTTGTTTTATGAGTCAACAAAAGTCGGCCCAGTAAAGATTTGTTGCTGGTGCAGGTAAAAGAAACATGGGTGTCATTGTTGTATATTTAGTGAGTGTGTTCCAGTTGTGCAGCACTATGCTGCTGAGTGAGCAATAATTTATATGGCTATATTTTACATTCAGGGTAAATTGTCTCAGAGAGAGACAAAATGAAAGTGTGCAGGAATTGCACCATGAGGACACTAAAGGCCAGGGTCACGTCAGTGAGATAAACATTGATTAAGCAGTCCTTTAATTTGAAGGATGTAAAGAATGGAAACACCAGAAATGTTTAATAATTTGAAGGATGAAAGAATGGAAACACCAGAAATGTTTAAGACTAAAGTTAAGAAATCCTGCAGTGAAATAAAAATCAAATGTAAAATGATGCTTCTTCAGTAGAACCTCAAAGAGAAACAATGCCAAACAGCAAAAAAGACCTATTGTACTGTGTGTGTGTGGGTGACCTGATATAACACACAGTTTTCAGGAAAAGAGAAGCCCACACAGACCACCACCCTGAGCATTTTATTTTTTCAGCTTTGTAGTTTCCGGAAGAAAATATGATTTTCTGTAAAAGGGACCAGCAGGAACTTGTGTGAGAGGGCGTCTGTGTTGGGATGAGACAGGAAATGAGTATCCGATCAGTGGCCAAGAGCTTGAACAAGTGTTGAATTTAGAGAAGAACAAAACAACTAAGTACATCTCTTTCTGCTGTCTTTAGTTTTTAACATGTTCAGCCTAGAACATATTTCTTTCCATTCTCCATCTTCCTCCCTCTCCTTGTCTCTTTCACCAGTTCATTGTCCTTTTATCCTGGTCACTTTGCCTTATTGATATTCAAATATGTGCCAAATACCACCTAGGAACACGAATACCCCTCTTTGTTGAAACAAACAACACAATTGTGACACTTCACTTTATATTACTGCATGTGAGCAAATTCATTTCATTAAAAATTTGCCCATTCCAGAAAAAAACTTCCATCCTACTTCTAAAGTTATTATATAAGTTCACACAAAGGAAATTAAAACAAAATGAGGTGAAAGTTTGAGAATTAATTTAAATTCTAACTGGAACCACCAATATATTTGCACTCCAATTAGTTCAAGTGTGCAAGATAGATGAGTGAAGATTACTTTTAGACACATTATTTAAAAGAAAAAGTATAAAGTTCCATCTCTTCTGCATCTCTATTGAGGAACCTTTTATAAATTACCCCTTTGCTCAGATCCTCAAAATACGCAATAGTTATTTCTCTAACGGAAAATTCATATGCTGTCAGTGGGTCCACACCCGGCTCTTGCCTAGCTGACATTCACGGTCAGACTGCACAAACACAGTTCGCCTTTGACTGGTACGGTGCATGGAAGACAGCAAACTCGGTGTCATTAAATTTTAATGAGCAAATATGGCTAAATTGGACACTGGTGAAGCAGACTGCCAAGCAACAGGAGTCTTAAAATGATTCAGATTTAGCCAGTGCTGTACAACAGATTGTCAAAGCAGATGTTGATAGACAGAGCGAGCAAGTAATAGTTTTCAGTTAACTCAAGCTGTGCACCATTCTTGTCTCTTGTTTATCTAGTGTTCATTTTGCAAATCTTCATGTGCTTCTAAAAAATGCTGCTCAATGAATTGTTTCCAACTGTATGTGACAACAAATGGGCTTTGAAGCATATTAAAGGGAGAGGATCATATAGGCAACAGGCAATAAAACCTTGAAAAATAACAGCTCTTTTACTGGAGCATCATTCTTTTTTTTAAAAACAGAATAATGAATTGACCAAAATGTTTTCCATTGTGGAGAGCATAATTCAAAAGTTGGATTTTACTGACATTCCTCTGGGTCTTAAGTTAACACCTCAAGGATGAATTTGTGACATATGTAGTTAAACAGATATGTAGTTAGTTATATAAATAATTTAAGATTTTCCTTCATGATTGCAAAAATGATTTAAGACTTTAGTCTCCACTCTAAACATGAAAAAAAGAAGAAGAAAATATCTGTATCGTCCATTTGCAATATACGTGGCCTTAAGGATAAAAAAGGGAAGCCTAACTATTATTTTGAGTATGAACTTTGAACTAGAAAATCAGACTCTGAATTCACCAGGGTTTTTTCATGGACTTTAGAGAGGAAGAGGTGATTTAATTTTTCAATTATTGAAGGGAAGGTAAAAGATTTCTTTTAAGCAGAGGTTTAATCATAGCTCCTTTGAAGGTCTAAGGCACAATAAAAAAGGGAAGAAGCCTTCATTTTAAGAGCAGAGGGGGTTCTAATATCAGACGGAGCACTGTAATGAATTCGGCAAAGTGTATGCTGAACTGCCCGACAGGGAGAGGGGGATCCTACATGACTCTTGAACTCAAATTGTATGTTGTTAGTCTGGGGGGCAGCTGAGCCTCAGTAACCAACAAAATACAATAATCTTCTCTGATATATCATCACCAATGTATTTAAAGACCTGTTAAAACTCACACAGGGACATCAGAGGTTCTATGATCAACAGAGCAGACATATTGAATTTAAAAATACAAAGAATTGAATGAATGATACACTTGATTTATTTGGCAAAAAAAAAAAAACACACAAAAAAAAACCCAGACACCACCTACACTGCTGCTAGTTGAAAAGAAAACTGTTCCCTTGATTGTGTTTTAAGAAATTAAACATGACAGATAATTTTAGAAAAATTAAAACGTGTTTAAAGGTCTAAAGTAACTCTCAGCACATTATCTTACATAAGTGACATTTTCACTGTTTGACCTTTAAACAATGGATTTGGAATGGATCTATTTTTTTCTGTTTAAATTAAAAATGTAGTATTTTTCCACATACATCTGAGATAAAGAGCCTAGTTTAAGAAGTATAAGGACAAAAATGTATTTACAGCAAAGTGACTAAAGTTGCAGTTACACTTTCTGACAGTATAGTTTCTATATATACAGTATATGATATAAAAGCATACATCCATTCAAGCTGCTTATGGTTTGTACTGGAGGGAAACTGTGTTACTGAGCTGGAGTTAAGCATCAGCACCAGTCGAAAAAATATATGTAGGAGTAAACACCGTGTTTAAACCAAATTTTATTTTATTCATTTTTAATGTATGTCTGTTAAACTGTTTGGTGCATTCTTCTATTTATATTTAAAATTAATGTTTCATTTGGAATATGTGTGTTTTAAATGGCATAAAAACATTAGAATATATGACTTTTATCAAGATTCAGTTGAAAAATATTGCAGTTAGATTTCTGCACAATATCACCCAATATCCCTGCTACAGCCTACATATAGTTTGTCAAAAGTTTTATTATGCATGGCTTTTCTCTGACATTTTAATAGACTGTTCTATACATTCTAATACCCCATTGTGGGTCTGGTAAAGAATGTATTAAAGGATAAATCAGCAGGCTATCAATGTCTATAAACAAAAAGGGGGCACAGACAGAAAATGAAACTGTAGACAGTGAGCAGACAAATGGAAAATTGAGATAAAAAACATTGAAGCTTGAATGATGGCATGGCAGCAAGTGAAATAGTTTCATTAAATAGCCGACTAAGTGAGACAGGAAGAGAAAGAGCTGAACCTTTCTATCTGTGTTGTCATCTTATCCTCACCACTCATTTCACATCATTTCCCTTTTCTTCCGCTCTCCCTCCATCCGTCACTTTCCCTATCTCCACCCTGCTCCCTCCTAATGCCCTACCTGTTAACTCCTGGAGGATCATTATCTCACCCCTGCTTTCCCTTACTTCATTTATTCACTCATACACGTTCCTTCCTATTCTAACATTTGTGTGCTATTTCTCTTGCCATGTTTCTCTTACTCTCCTTATTCAACCATTTACCTCAATCTTATTTATTCATCTTTGTACTTACCAATTTATTCAACCATTTACCTTATTTATTCATCTTTGTACTTACCAAACGTCTCTCCTGCAGGCGGCTCTGTGCTGTATTTGCCACTTTTTTTTATATTTTGTGTGCTGCAAGTTAGTCATCGACTATCCCTGTAAATAGGACAACACAGAATTACCAACTTCAACAAGATCCTCTCCAAACTGTTAATTGTGCTCAACTTTGTCTTTTTGTATGCTTAAGCAAAATTAATTGGTTGAGTAAATAATTGACATAACAGACGGTGGTATTTTCATAGCTGCAGCACTCATTCACACATGAAAACTTCACAAGTGAGTAATCAGCAGTTTGTCAAAATTTCACATTCTATTGCAGTATTCATATTGTAAAATAATACAGTGGTAACTAAAGGGCTGAGTGTGACTTTTAAACATCCCCCTGTGTCTGGCTCTGTTGGTTTTGATGTATCTGCAGGGATGGCCAATCGGCTCCTGTGTGCCAGCTCTTCTCTCATAAACTATCTTTGACAAGGCAGCTGTGTGCAGACACACACGGACACAAACATACTTGATTCAGGCCTTCCATCACACTAATTAGTTACTGTATTCCCTCGCCTTCCACATACTTGAAACAGTGACAGACAAAGCAAGTGATTACAGAAATTAAATAATTCCGAGAGTGGGTTTCGGACATGCGCTTGATGCAAATGAAATTAGTGGGGCCACATAAATAATGGAAGCCACCTCAAGACATCCCACAACACTTTCTCTGATCTTGGCACAAGAGCTAAGTCGAGAAGAAGCTGACAGACAGTTTTTCCTGAAGCAAAAAAACCTTTGACCTCAAGTAAAAATTGCTTAAATAAATAATAGGTTAATGATTAGTCTTGCCAACAGGAGGTATTGTTTCCTCTCGGCAAGAGTGTTACAATACAAACATTCACACCTTATTCTGATAATGCAAAAAAGATTAGATGGAATGGGGCAGTTATTGTGTCCCTGGTCAAATTACAGTACATTTTAAGCAGTCCTAAGATTAATTTGTACTTTTTTCCAGCACATAACTGCCGTAGTCAATTATACTTCACCTTTATATGAGGCTAACAACTAAATAAATTACTATTATTCACATATATTTGTATAAAATTTTAGTTAAATCTGCAGTGACTGATGAATACATAATGATAATGAACTAATACATAAACCAGCACCTGGACTTGTCTATTGCCTGGCAAGTTATACACACATATATTGTATGTATATGTTTTTATATATATACGTATTTGTGTGCACTAGCATTATAGCGTTTATTATTTCAACATTTACAACTACAATGCGACTTCTAATAACAGTAACAATAATGCAACAATAACGAATAAATTAGTAAAACTCACCAGTCAATACTGTCGTCGTCTCAAGTTTTTTACTTTTCAGTCAGCCCTCTGTGCTCGCCATTTTTATTTTTAAAATGGAAATAACGGATGTTGTTTTCGTGGTGACACATCCTCCCGTTTGTCTCCGCTTTAATTAATTGAGGAAAAGTTAAGTTAAGTTACAAACGATTAAGATACAAAAATATAGAAATATATAAAATGTCTTCAAAACAAAACAAAACAAAAACCTTCAAATCGTCCGTTCTCGGAGAAACGGTCAACGGTAATTAGCTTCACTGGGTGCAGGACACGTGACCTGCCACACCCGGGAAAACTACGTAATCAAACAAGTCCGTAACGTGTCTGAAAAATATAGATAAAAATATATATTTTACTCCATTTTACTTATTTTCGAGATAAAAATATATATTTTACTTATTTTCATATTTACATCATTATATTTATAACATTATTATTATTATTTATATTATGTTTGTCACTTTTTCTTATTTCATATATTTTTTCCACACTTTATATCAATAACTATCATAACAATGTATTGTGTTTAAGTGTTTTTATGACAATATATTGTTTTCTTAATTTACTTTCATGCATACTTTTCAGTTGGAATTTTATGAGAGAATATGTCAATAAAAAAAAACAAAAAAAACAGAATTACCCAAACTGAATATGTAACTGTGCTTGACAAGAAATATGAACCCTTTCTAAATTCCAAGGCTGTCTTCACTGAGCCAGAGCACACAGTCAGAGAGGTCCTCCAGATTTAAGAGCAGGAGAAAGAGCGAACAGAGGATGGAGAGCTGTAAAATTGGATGGTGTTAGTGTGGGTACAGTGACCTTATGGCCACAGCACGAGCAAGACTGTGTGGTACAGAGTGGGACTTGTTGCTACTACAAATTGCATTTCTGCAAAACACACTGTAATATACAGTCAAAGGTTTTCTTATTTGTTCAACAGTGCTTTTAAAAATGGCATTAATTAGATTAGACTATATATCTAGGGATGAAAATAAAAGACCTAACTAGCAAAGTTAAAGAACTAGCAAAGGAAAAACTCAGTGAAGAAGAACCTTTCCTTTACTGTCAGACACTATTGTCCCTACGTGCATGTGCCTTTAATTACGGTCATAAAAAATGTATTTATGTTGCTCTAAATGTGACATTTTAGAGCCATTTTTTCTCATCCATCCTCGAGGTTGTTTCTGAGACAAATGAAAAAGAACAGAATGAAAGCTACAAAGGTGGTGGGAGAAATGAGGAGGGATGTGTCAAGACGACACTGGGAGTTTGACCTGAAGGTATACTGAATAATAAATGGGCGAGAGAAGGGAAAACAGGAGAGGAGAGGAGTAGGAGAGAGTAGAGGAGAGGGGAGGAAAGGAGAGGAGAGAATAAAACATAACAGTCTCTTTACTACATAAAACACAGTTAAATATCACATAACACTGATTATTTGATGTAAAAATCATCAAAATAATATGATGTTACTTAAACCTTTTTCAACCAGAAGACAGACAGAGCAAATACTACACATTTCCTTAATCCCATGGATTAGAGGGATCACAAGCAGGTAATAATGTAAAGGTCAAAGCAGAACCACTTTAACAGGAATAGACACTGATGAATAATGGAACAATGGGGTGGATTTAATGGCTCTAAAGTATTTTCCCACAGATCTGATCAAATTAGTAGTCATTTACTTTTCGTTTTCCCCCATCAAATTTTTAAATAATCCAAATCAAGTGTTACCACTTGATTTTGTAGCTATTATCAAACAAAGACATGTGGTAATGTTGTGTTGTTTGCTATAACAAATCCCCAATTATGTTGGATTGGTTTTTAAAGAATTTATTTTCTAATACATGGTGGACAAAGTCACAAATTTGCTAGTTTGATTCCAGGTCTTGGTTTGTAGTAAGGAGTTTGTTTGTATGGGCTCCAAGAACCTTTTTAATGACCTGTGATCATTTAATATCAATTTGCTCATTACAACAGAAAAATAAAAGCAATGTTCTAGGCCCTCAAAGATGTGTATATCCTGAGTCGCCTTTAGAGAGAAAAACTTAGAGTGAAAACTCCCTTATAACTTCTGTCATCAGAGTGTTTGGCCTGGGCTGACCTCCTAAAACCCATTTTCAAAGGCAGGCGTTGTTCTGTATGTTCAGCTGTTATGGTAACCACAGAGGAATACATTTTTCAAAGATGAATCCTCAGTAATTAAAAACTACATCTTCTGTATCCTCCAGCAACCTTGTCTTTCGGAGCGTCAAATTCCTATTTTAGCTCGTTTTAAATACATTTCAAGTTGGCTCTGGTTCAAAACTCCAGTGTAGCCTCAAGCCAGGTTAAGATGTGTACGCATTATTAAAGCTGTCATTGGGGAAATTAGGGAATCATGAAGTGAAAAAAAGTGAAATAGCTCAGAGTATTTTTGTTTCTACTACTGCTTCCATGTCTGATTACTTGAAGATTCAAAGGAGGTTTTGGACAAGCTTCACTTAAAAACAATGTTTAGGTTTTAATTATTTACTGTTATCAGTGAAAAAATAGAACAGATAGATGGCAGTATTGGGTTTGTTAGTTTTATAAATAAATATTCCTTCCAATTTGTCGCAGACCTTTTCGACCAACCGTGTTTATAGTGTGCAGAGACACTGCCCTCTTTTTGTGTCCTTTCTTTTTATTCCTTCTTTTTCAGCCTGTACTGCTGTAACTATATTAGATCTATATTTAAAATGGATAGCTCTCAATACATTTATCTTTAAATTGACTCAACATCAGCATCTAATGGACCGACTGCATTCAAACTAAACCACCACAGATATACAAATGCTGACTGGGTTTATCAAGGACATGAGTCATTTTGGTTTGCTTTTCATATTTTTCTGCATTAAAAATTCAAGACATTCTGATTCCACATTTATAAAACCAAATATTAAAAAACAAACTTTATTTCAACACCCACGCTGTAAAAGGGAAAAATTTGACTTTCGGCTGCTTTAAAAAGTGCTTATTCTTGTATTATCTATAATTAATCATTGCCACAGAAAATGTGTCTTCGCCCTATTCTCCATCACGGTGTGCTGTACTGTAAGTGTGCCGCTTCATTTATTAATGATAAAGTATAGATATATGTATGTAAGTTTGAGGGCACCTGAATATTTCTTTAACTTATTCTACTTCCTCTGCACTCGTGTAACTGCTGCCTTTGCACATAAGAAAAGTTCTGTGCCTTTAATTATGTTGACATGACAATTTCGTTCAGTGCAAAAAACAAGTTCTAAATGTAATTGTGCCTAAAATTGGGGTGAAGTTTTTTTTTTCTCCCTGATTTGTTATTCATCTTATTTGTAAAGTAATGAATGTTAACTTGTAGTGACTTTTTAAACTTGGTGATTGTATATGATGCAGAACAATCTGAGGTTGGCCTTTCAACCTGACCTCAGTGCATACTTTTGGACTGCTAAGCTCCATTGAAATGTTTCCAAAATGTGTTCAATGGCAAGAAGATGGGACCCGACCATCAAAGAGATAATTGGACAGAGAATGAGGCAGAGCATGAAGCAGAAGGGGGGACACAGTGAACGGGTGAGTGAACATCACAGCTGTGGGTTCACTGAGCACAATGAGTGTTAATGTGTGAGCCAAGACTTTAACACCAGGGTTAAACTCACAGGCTGCACGCAGCATCTCACGCCAAACAAATTTATCCTGTGATCATGTTCACATGAAATCCTGATCCATAAATATTTGTTCACCTCTTCAGGGTGGCAGTTGGAGCTGCTGGCCCCCCCCAGGCATCAGGAGAAGGTGTGGTCCACACCCGTCCATCACAGGGTCACATATGGAGACCAAAACATCCATTCACACCTACGGTCAGTGAGTCAACAATAAAGCGTATCTTGACTTGGTTTTAGTTTGTAGAAAGAAATATTCCATTTGGTAAAAAAAAAAAAAATAAGTTGTTGGAATTTGAATTTTTTTTGTAGTAATTTCTATGGAAAGGTTTTGGAAACCATCGCTCTAGGATAATTTGTTACGAAAGCAGAAAATAAATATAAATATCCCAGCAGAAGTGCCTGAGACACTGTGCTACTGTTGACAGCTGTTCTGACTGAGCGTCCTGATGCCCTCTCCTGTGTTTTCAGGGGAAATTAAAATGGTTAGAGCAGACAAATCGAGGGTCACAGGTGAGGAAACAGACTAAAAGCTTATCACTTTTATACAGAAACAGAAATGGACTTTGGAGGACACACACACACACACACACTATGCTGACAGCATCTCAGTATTATTTTGCGATTGCAAACATATTATATATGAAAGTGAATTATCACCTAACGGTCCTATTATAAGAAAAAGCAGGTCTTTTTTGAAGGACAAAGAAAGGAAGAGACGTGTCTGAACTGTGTATTCATATTAATGTATAGATACTGTATATAAATACTATTTGGTGGTTAAGCTTTGGGTATATTGGTCAAGTCAAGCATGCCATGAGTCTGACAACTTTGGGTTAACACAATCCTGATCCACGTTAGCAAACGCAGGTATCTATCAATTTGATTCATGTAAAAAAAAAAAAAAATCAACTCCCCCCCCCACACCGCCTTTTATTACTACTGCACTTTCCCCAAAATAAAGAACACAAGTTAAAGTGAAAACCAACCGAACCCCTTTCAAAAACATAAAAATAAAATCATTTTTACTTACAAAAACAGCTCCTAAAAACCTCAGGCCAGACCGCCAGTTGCTTAAAGTGTTTCATTTTTATCTTTGAAATAAAGCCTCCCTCGTCAAATGTCAGACAATTTCACCAACAGTAGTCAAAGGCTGGGGCTTTTACTGCACTTCTCCAGTGTTGATGACTTTCAGAGTGCTTTAAACACCCTGTTGTATTTACCTATTCACTTGTGAAACCTGTACAGAACATCTGTTTGCAGCACTTTGTCCATCACACACACACCTTTCACTATCTGTTACAACTTGTTACATCTTGTCTATCATGGTCACTCTCCAAATTTCTCAGCCGCTTCTTCTCTTCTCTCCAGCTCAGCCGTGTCTGAAACCAACATGTCTAACGTGTCTGAAACCATTTCTCCAACATCATGTTTTTAAAAAAATAACATGGTGAGACCACATGCTAGCATGATGATTAGCAGCCGCTACCGGTGAGAAGATATCTGGGTTGAATCCCATTCAGCTGTTAATAATTCTGTCTGAAGTTTGCATGGTTTTTTTTCACTTCTCTTTTCCTCCCAGTTAAAAATGCAGGTAGACGGAACTGCAGGCGACGCAGCGCAATTCAGATAAGAAATACGATTTATTTAAAACCTTAGATTGTCTGCAGGTGTGAAGGGTCGTTCAGCCTACTGTTCATTCTGGATGTTTTTTTGTTTTTTCTTTAACTGTTCTGAAGGATCTAAACACAGCCTTTCTGAGAAAGTTCAGTCCAAATGTTGGATTTTATCAGAAGACTCAGTGGTGGGTGAATGACGTTTGACAACTAGGTTTAACATTTTTTCAGGTTGAAATAAAAAAGGTGAAAGGTTTTTGAAAACCTCACTGTGGAAAACACTGTAAATACAAGCACTTCTGCCAGTTTTAAAGTCATCGTCTCTGAATGTTTAATTCTGAGTTTTGAGGTTTTGAGTCAGATTTAAATTACGTGATCTACACAAGAAACTAAAGGTTGGTGTTTAACACACACTACAGTAGAGCTGTCTCACAGTTTCAGGTCCTTCACTGTTTTAATGTGTTTTATGTATGAGGACCTCAGGTTACCACAGTTAGAGTTAGAACCTACCGTTCTGATGTAAGGCAACACCACAAACCACGCCTCCACCAGTGGGATTAGTGCACACCTAAAAAGATAAAGAAGTACATCAATTGTTTTGACAGATTTATTTTTTACAAGTTAAATTGAAAATATTATTGCAGTTAAATGAATATTTCTCTGCATTTTCCCGACCATCATCCAACCCGCGTCAGTAAACTCTCGTATATCTCATGCCCCCCGGGTGATAAAACTTAAATAATCAGAAATTGTTTTTTTTAAGTGTCAGTGAGCAGACAGTGAATCAACTGAAGCTGTAAAGATGAATTAAAACGGGGGGAGAAAAGACTGCACATCAAATCATTTAGCAGCGAGTCTCACTGTGAAACTGATGATAAACAGCCTTCACACTGAGGGGATGTAGAGAAGTAATTATGTTTTCTGCCGGCACAGGGACTGGGGCTGCATGCAGACAAGCCCTCCACTAACAGCTCATTTCTGCCATGGTGGGTAAATGCTGGATTGTTTACATTTATATAGCGCTGGTCTAATCTTGATGACCACTTAATGCACTTCACACTGCAGCGCTGCCATTCAGCCATTCATGGCCCTTCATACACTCCATATACATGGAGTATTCTGCCAACACAGCTGCCAGCAGCAATCCACAGTTATACACCGACGAAGTGCTGGAGAGAAGAAGGAGCGTGAAATGGTCTGTACTTAGTCATGTGGGCCTTTTTTATGTTCTGGCGACCAATCAGAGGGATTTGAACTGCAAGTCGCAGGAAGAAATTTGTGTTTAGAAAGTCTGGGATTAGACTCAAAAGTCCTGAAGCAACTGTGAAGACCACAGCAGACTATTGGTGGGTCGCACTTGGCCCTCGGGCCTTGAGTTTAACACGTGCCTTCGACTGTCTTGACTTTGTCAATGTCAGCCTGTATCAGATACAGTAATCAAGTCCTCAGAACATCAGAAACTGGACTTACTTGACATTCTGCTCCTCTTCAGAACCGAGTGCCTGCAGAAAGATCACAACACAACACAACAGATGAATGGTTGAAAACCAAGGTCACCTGCTGACACCAACTAAACACTGGTGTCAGTTTCTTCAAAGACTTCCTTAAAAAAAAGGAATACCAAATTGGACGCACCGTGTTAGAGCGGGTAGTTTTCTTACCTTACAGCAAAACAGGGTTCAAAGCGAATGTGGAAAAAAAGTAGAGGCTTATAGTCCGGAAATTACGGTAATAAGTCCAAGATCCCACTGTTCTAGAATGTACCGCGGACCTGTGAATTTACCAACAGACCAGACAGACTCAGTTACAGCAGAGACTTTACGCCAATGGATTTACTTTCACCGTTGTCTGCAGGGTGGCTTCATACATAGGCAACAGCAGCAACACGTATAATACGTGGAGTTCATGTCGGCAGTGGAGGTCGTTCATACATAAACATTCAATGCAACCCACAGATATGGAATGTTTGGAGCAGTCAGTGCGACTGTGAAGACGTGAACCTCTCTCTCTCTCTCTCTCTCTCTCTCTCTCCCTCTCACACACACACACACACACACGGACTGAAACAGTGAAATAAATCAGTGTGTTCAAGCGCACGTCTGCCACCTCTGCAGCGTCGGAGTGTGTGTAGTGCCTAAACGTGCCTGTGAATTGTTCCGTGTTGTTATTTTCCTTCATGGATTTTTCCCCTTTTGCTGGGAACAGGTTGATAATTATGTGCAGCTGCATGTGTCTGTGTGTTGACCTCTCCTGCAGACAGCGGCCTGTTTAGTATTCCAACCTGACACAGGGCTTTGTGTGCCCAATCATCGCACACTTGTCCGCTCTCAACACACAAACGCACATTCAAACAGTGGCCCCGCTGTCACATAATTTTATTGCAGCCTCTAAAGCCGACTTAATCAGCTCTAATCAATGTTCATAACAGGAACACAATGATAAATTGATAAGGCCGAGCATAATATAGACAAAAAGATTATCAGGCTTTGTCGTCTGACAGTCTCTGACCCCCAGAGAGAGGGAGCTGGGAGGAGGAGAGGAGGAGCACAAATGATTCCCGTGTTAGTGATCTGACTACGACAGGGCCGCATCAACATATTTAAGTGGGGCCAGATGTGAGAATGTAAAAATAGCCGGGGGCCAAGTGCTCCTTCTGTTACTCTTAAGACCAAAATAAATTACACACTAGCGTCACAGTGTAGTTAGTATTGTTAGAAATGGACATGTTTGTAAAAGTCAGACAAACAAACTGAAAACTGACTAAGGAACCAACAACAAAAATACACAAACATAAAGTATTTATATCATAATTAGCCCAGAAATATCACCTGACAGTATCAGTGACCAGACATCAAAGATAAAAACAGCTCAACAATTTCCCCAAAAAAACACTGCAGGCAGTCACGTCGTTGTGTTAGCTGTAGAAAGAAAGAAAGTGGAAGAGTTGAAGTTGTTAATTTTGCAGCAGTAAAACTCAAATATGCAGAGACAAAAAACCTCACTGTTCATTGTCAGGTCTTTTGTTATTACTTTTATTAATTATTATCATCATCATCATTATTCTTCAAGTTTAGCTGTGTAACAAACTTTTCTTGGCTGTCAAAATATGCTGTCCAAACATCTTTTTTGTTTTTTTCCGCATAAAACAAAAACCTAAAGACAGTAACGTACAGAAAAGTAGCAGAATAAAATACAACAGCGTAAAGAAAAAAAAAACAACTAAAAATAAAGTCCCATGTTTTCTATAAAGGCCATTCCGATGAATAGACGGAAATTCTACAGAAAAAACAAACATATAATGGTTAAATGTACATGGTGATTGGTGTGCGTGTGCGTGTGCATGTGTGTGACCAACCGTTCACTGGCCTTTAGTTTCCTTCTCTCCCAATGTTAATACTGTACACACCCAAACGTACACCCACTTGTACCAATGTATATATATGTGTGTGTGTGTGTGTATGTGTGTGTGTGTGTGTTTCCCTTCCTTGAAGATAAGAACATAATAAAAAAGAGTGCAAGCCGCAGCATCATTTCTATAACACATTCTGACGAGAGTAAAATAAAAAATAAAATTCAAAACTTGTTAAGGCCCCTCATTGTAAACGCTGACGTGAAATGCCATCAAATCAGAAACATATAGCTAACGGATGAATTTGTTCAGTGTGAAAAGAACCAATGAAATCCTCCCAAAGAAGAAACGCTGAGCCCAGTACCTCCTGTCAGGCCAACAACATCTCCCAACTTTCTACTCAGATGGACAGCATCCATCTGAGGCCAGCATCTCAGGCCAGGATCTGAGGCCAGCATCTGGACACTGAAGGGTGAAAGAGTTTGGCAAGGCACTTACTTTATGAAAAATAAAGAGACATTCTTCACTTTTCTATAATGTTGAATTTCAGGCATCAGATCTAATCTGAACCCTTTGAGAGTCATGAAAATGAAAAGCTGACACAGGTCCAATCTGTGTTTTCCACAACCAAAATTCACCGACAATATTTGACTATTTTAACCCTTTAAGACCAGAACGAAGTACAGTACACCAGAGCTTCAAAACAAAAGAAGTGAAACACCAGAGCAGAGACAACCTTTTCTGCTCTCTACGGTTTCCCTCGTACTCTCTGTCCTAGTAGAGAGGATTCTGAACCTAACTGTAGGTGCAGGTCAGAAATGGATTTGTCATAAAACAATCACCAAACTTGATCTTTTCATCTGGTGCACCTCCTCAGAGATGGAAGATTGATGAGCAAAGGAGAAGACCAGATGAACAGAAGGACGAGAGGTGGAGTCCGAGGATGGATGGATGGATGGATGTGGACGGAGGTGAAAGCTGAAACCTCTGAGTTAACCCCACCCTCACTGCGTCCCTTCATCATTAGGAGTCCACTATTCATTTATTTAACTGGTTTTCTGCCCTTTTGCTACATTCACTGTTGTAAACCCAAAACAAAGAAACTGAACAAGTGTGATTTCAAATGTTAAATCGTTGCATATCAACTCTACTGAGTGTGAGACACACGCAGCATGCAGTACCTCTGAGTCGACACCGGGTGTTTTGTTTGCATATAGATTGGTGTGCACAAGATGTGTGCTAACTTTGACCCTAAGAAGGAGAAACACTGTCTACTGTAAATTTAGGTTTTGACCCTAAGAAGGAGAAACACTGTCTACTGTAAACATGGAAATGTTGCTCCTGTAAAAAGACGTTCCTGCAGCAACACCAACAAAAGACAAAAGAAAAGAAAAAGAAATCGAAGTAACATCAACACATGTTTGTTGAAGAGGTATTCTATGTACTGTAGGTCTAAAGTTGTTTTTTTTTTACACAACACCTATGCACACCAAGTATGCTCCCACAGAAGAGACCATTCCTACTGACTGGATAAATGTTATTGCTTTCCCGTTTCAGTAAAAACTCATTATGTTGCCAGTTAAACTCCTACAGCGATAGTTTGAAAATTAAATAATGAATTTTGCTTACAGAAAAAAAACACTCTTGACTAAGCCTCATTAAAATGGACCAAAATACATTAACACCAACAACACATTAGAGTAATTACACTTTAGAGGGAGCCAATCCATGGTATGAGCAATTTGGTGTCACAACGACAGGACACGATTAAGGTTTCATTTAAAAACCGAGAGAGAAAAAAAATCATTTCTTCTCCCACTAAAACGTCACCAGAGTGTTTTTCTACTGCAGCACGGTCTGGATGAAAAAAAGACAGAAAGAGAAGACGTAAAATTACTGTCACTTTTTTAAAGTCTGGAAGTTAAACCGTGTGTGAAACTTCTCAAAGATATTCTGATATCTTTTCTTCGTCTGTTGAACTTCCTCACTGGCCTGGAAAACAAACATTTCTGACTGATTAGCTCGGCTGTACTCGTCCAGAGGGCTGGAGACGGCAGTTTAATGGCCTGACCTGATGTAGAAACAAAACTCTGTGATGCTTGGACACCAACAAACAAACAAACAAACAAACAAGGAGGCCAGAAATGACCAGGCACATGGTGGAAAAACTCTCTCTCACTTCTTTTGGGGGAAAAAAAAAAGCTTAGAAAAATATCTTTGTTGTGACTCCTCAGCTCGTTCCTTCCTGACTTTCCTTTTTCAATCAGTCTATTATTGTTTCCCTCCAAAGAAGTCCCTCGGTGATTGTTTTGTTTGTTTTCTAGCAACTAAGGCAGCAGGGCTGAAGAAGCGGTTCTCTTATTTTTTTTTTTTGTATAAAAATAAATAAGACAGCCACTGTGTTCGAGCAGGAGGGGTCTGGTCGCTACACTCTCAACGACAAAAGCACACTCGTAAGGAAACGCTGCGTCAAACCATGTCTGTTGACTGTGGTGTTTCAGAGGTGGAGATTCAGCCTTGGTGGGGAGGGGAGGGTGAGGAGGGGAGGGTGAGGAGGGGGGCAGAATTGGTGAACTGTAACAGCTTCCGTTCCCAGTCAAGGCAACTTATTTTGCAGAATTGCAAAGATGCTAACATGCTACATAGAGGTAATCTACCAAAAGTCTCAGCATTACATCAGCTGAATACAACACTGTAGGCAAAAGGCTCTGTAAGGTCCATACAGAGTCAAACAAACACACACCCACCCCCCCAACCCCTCCCCACCCAAAAAACAAACCATCGTTAGGATTCCCAGGTCTTTCTGTAACACCAGGACCAACATGAGGGGACGGGTCCAGACGTAGACCGTGTTGATCCATTGGCACATTAACAACAAATACAACAGAACAAACGAGAGACCGTCACACAACTGAACATGTACAAACGACGCGTCCCGTGTCAGGAGACAGGTGGGCGGTGTGCAACACGTGTGACCCCTGAGGACTGAGGAAAAAACCGAACGTAAGCCTTCATTGTGTTTTACATCACTGATTAGGGACGGACAAATATCCTTTGATCCTGGCGCGCAGAACGGAAACGCAATTAAACAAATGCACACATACGCACACGCGCCCCCCCCCCCCCAACCCCCCCCCCCCTTGGTTGTTACCTTATTTTAGACAGCTGTCATCGATGTGACAGATCTCTTTAAAAACGACATAAAGATCAAAAATGAGATTAAAACAAAACATGTAACCAGACTAAAGTTGATAGTACCGATTCCTGCAGGAGAAGCATTGTTTTCCTTTACAAAATAACATACTTTATAAGAAAGTGTAGCAAGTTGCATGTTTTGAACTAAAACATCATCATCATCAATATTACTTTTATTATTATTAATATAAATGTTAAGCAGATTAATAGATAATAGTCGTTCTATTAGGCAGGCAGCCAGGCACGTAGCTAGTTTGATGGCACGAAGGAAGGTAGAAAATAACGTCACTTGGTTTTGAGAACACTTCGGTCTGGTTTAACACCAGTTTAAAACCAGTTACAAACTGGTTCAAAGAGCAAACAAGAGGAAAAAGTCAGGAGGAAGTGAAACCCAACCTGCTGCGTCCACACCATTCTGCAGCTGTGGTGAACCTGCATCAATCCAAACCACTGAGTCTCAGAGTAACAGCAGGAGTGAAAGAACACACTGATCTTCTTGTACCGGTCACCAACTATCACCCACAGAAATTTGTTTTTTTTTTTAATCCATTTGCGCAGCGTCGAGGCTGTTTGGACCAGGATGATGAAGACACGACCGGGTCAGATCATGTTGTACCGAAAACGAAAGACAAACGAAATAAACAAACGGGTGTGTATCTGTAGACGACCGCAGGTCCGTTGAGCCCAAGTGTTTTGTTTTGACTTTTCCTTTCCTTTTTTTTGTTCGGTGTACGGTGAATGTGCAAGTGCTGAGCTGCTCAATCTCATTCCAAATGAGGGACAGTCTAAGTTTCAGTTCAATCCTCTTATGTGGAGAGTGGCTGTTAATTTCAGCTGCGATGCCAGGACTCCACTGATTAACACTTGCTACAAGCTGTCGAGTGACTTTTACTCCACAAAAGGCTTCGAACCACTCCTGCAGTAAAACTGTCCGCTGCAGCAGTTCACTGGGATCCAACAATCTTTTTGTTTGTTTTTTTTTCTTTACCATTTTGCATGTCCAGCATATGAATGTGTTCCGTTTAGTGCCCAGGTTAGACCCATGTGGACATGAGCTAGCCTCCAGGAACACGTTGGCATACAGCTTATTTATTTATTTCAACGCCAAACGTAAAAAAAAAAAAAAAAAATGCTAGAGTCAAATGCTTCATGTCAATTATGCTCGACCTTCTCTTCCAAGTCTTCAGCGCCAGCATCGCTGGTTCTTGTGATTTTGTCAGAGCTGTGGTCTAACACCGGCGTGCCTCCTAGTTCCTTGTTGGTGAGGTCACAAGTCTCTGCTACTTCATCTTCATCAGCTCCTGTGTCATGTTTTGCCTTGTTCTCATTACACCCCCCCGTGCTGCCGTTGCTTTCACACGTGATGGCATCGAGGTCGTCGCCATTTCTCTTTTGGTCTGGAGTGACGCTCCGAGGTCCTGACGGCGTTTCGTTGGGCTGACCCTTGAGCGGTGGCGTCTTGTCTGCGTACCGGTGTAAGCCCCTCTGTATGTGGGTGGTGAAGTCGTAGCGGTCCACGCACACGTGAAGGCAGAAGCTGCACTGGTACGGCCCCTGCTCGCCGTGGCAGCTCATGTGCAGAGCGTACATGACCTCGTCCAGGAAGTAGATCCCACAGTGGACGCAGCGGTTGGTCAGGTCGTCCTGCGTGGACGCGTCTACCGTTTCGCGAGTCGGCTGCTTTTCCGTCGAATGATCCTGCTCCTCCTTTCCAATCTCCATTTGCTTCACTCCTTCACCCGACTTCACCTCCTCCTTCTCACTCCCGATCCAGTTCTCCTGCGGCCTCTCGGCTAACTCCTTCTTTCTCCTCTCGGCACCGTTTGTCGACACGTGCATGCTCGCAGCATTGGTATCTCTCTGTCTTATTGCCAGATCCAAAGGAGCTTCATTTTCTAACGATAACGACGACGATGACGACGGCGGTGTGTGTGAATGAAGCGGAGGAGGAGGGTAATGTGGAGGAGCCGGAGGAGGAGGCAGAGGAGAATACGGAGAGGCACAATAAGGCACCGTGTAGCTCGGCTGATGATGCTGTACCGAGGTCACCATCGCACTGAGATAGTGGGCGTTATTTGCGAGGCTGACAGGACTGCTGAGGTTACTGATGCTACCAGGAACCCCAGAGGCGGCTGCCATCTTGTACTTGGTCCAGAACCGGAGCCAGTCTGACTCTGGGGTCAAATCAGGGGAGATGGTCAACGGTAAAGGTAATGAAAACAGAGGATACTGATATTTTTCAATCGGAGAACCTGGAGGAGAGTAACTGGACGGTTTGGACGGACGCATGTATTTTTCTATGGGACTTCCTCTCTCTGATCCACCTCCACCTTTGCTTCCATCTAGTTTTGATGTCACGCCTCCGTCGGCGATGCCTCCGTTGCCCTCTGGTGTCAATGAGGAGGGGGCATGTGAGGGAAGAAGAAGAGGAGGCATTCGTCTGTGGATCTCCAGGGTTTGATTGGCCAGGAAGGCCTGGGTGGATCGAGGGGAGCGGGATCGGGGGGAGGGCTGCTGGTTCTTCATGGAGACGCAGCTTCGATCTGACTCCTCCCCATTCATGCGCTCCTCGCCGGTGATTCGCTGCTGCTTGGGCGTGGGGTTTTCAGACGACAGCGAATCGGGATTGAGGCGTTTTCTCGTTCGCCTGCGGATAATTTGTTCACCGTTGTTTTGCTTGATGATGTTTAGAGGTCTGGGAGTCTAGAAAAAAAAAGAAGAAGAATATATTAATGTAGGAGGTTTAAATAATAATAATAATTAAAACAAATAAACATAAACATCAACAGAGGCATCAGCTCTGTTTACAGCTCCTGAGGCCTTTAAATGCCATTTAATTAAATTAAATAATTAAATAGTTGTGAAAACTGAGAAAAAAAACTTTGTTGACATTTTCAGATAAATTAACACATTTCCAGATGAAGTAACCAAGTTAAATGAACTGTGAAGTTGTATTTATATTTCTCCTTCCTTCAGCACTCGACAAAGCCTCAGCTCAGAAATAATGACTTGTAACTTCGCAAATCAGTCATTGTGAAAATAAAAAGTTCCCATTTTAGGACCACACTTCAAGAGCCTGAGAAGCCCTTCAAGCTGGGAGCAGAACGGAGGAAGTCGATTTTTGTTTTGCAGATGGTAGATAGATGGAAGACAAAACCCCTTGTGTTTTGACATCATTTGTAGATATTTGAACTCACTCTGCAGATAAAGAAATCCCTCAGGGCCTCAAAACTTTGAGCTAAAGTTACAATAATCTATACACATTTGAAAACACCGTCTTTCTTTACAGTCAGAAAGAAAACAACACTTTTCCTTTGTGTCCTGTCAGAGGCGAGATGATAAAACTATGGCCACTGGGAGGTCAGTGTGTACTTCCAAAAAAAAAAAACCCAAAACAAAACAAACAAAAAAAACCACACTTTTTTTGAATGTGTTAGTGTTGAATAAACTACAAGAGGACGGAGGACGATCCCAGCAGTCACCACCAGTAAACATCTTTCTGTTAATCAGTAAAGACTAATTGGCAGAGACATTTTAAAAAAGGCAGATTGATAATACGATTGCCAACATAACAAATCTCTAATCTCCGTGTGGCAGTAAAAGCAGGTTTTTCTATTATCTACAGTTAGAGCACAGTATCAAACACTTCCCCTTATCTCCTCTGTGTCCTTCAGCGTTGTGTTCTCCCAGAGTTAAGCTGCAGTGCTTTACTTCTAAACGCAGTATAATTTAAAGTCTTTTCTTAAGCTTCGCAACGTGAGATTACACTATCGGCTCTGATGCTCAGGAAAAAGATTTGTTTAAAACTGAGAATGACAACGGAAAGAATTAAAGGGCAGGAAACATTTGACACTAACAGTAACTTTTCTCACCCTCTTTAAACAGACCCTCAACCTTTACTATCACCCCCCCACTCTTTGCCTCCATCTCTCCCCTGTTCTTTGCCCACGTCGCCCTCCCTCCCTCCTCTGTTTACCCCCCCTCTTTTATGTCCGTCGTTGTCTCCCCTCTTTATTCATAACTCTCCCTCTGAAGTGTTTTACTAGCTGCTATCCCCTCTAATAATGTGTGTAGAGCGTATAAAACTTTTATTATGGGATATAAAATATGGTTGTCGTGATGATTGCCAAGAGTCGAGGGAGCTTAAACGTGATTGGTGCAACAGATGAGATCGATGGGTTGAACAAAGGACGTCTGCAGGGGCAGGAAGGATGCCTCCACTGGATCCTAAACATCAGCATTCCACGGCCGCAGCGCTGGTGGACTGAGCTGTGACAGAGCCGCCCCCTTTATTTTTGATCAGGGTGAAATAAATTAATAAATGCCGATGCTCTGCGGACTTGTTTTACACTTAGCTCCAGTTAAATAGGTCCATTTGAAGTGTAAATGAGCCCAAACCCCTAAAACCTCAACTCAGGTAAGAAAGTTCTCCGTTCCAAAGTAAACTGGATTCCTAGCTGCCGGCTCTTCATCTCATCTGTGATTCCTGCACTCTAATTAAATTTGGGATTTCCACAGACTCTCCTCAGGCTAAGATGGTGGAGAAGATGCGTTCCATCGTACGACTAACTCGGTGTAAAACGGCTGACTGTGGCTACGCTAAATTTGTCTCTCGCTGCTGGAATCCGTCCTACTGTACCAGGTCGACTATTTATCCTTTTCATTAATAGTACTTATGTGAAAATAAAGTGCAATGCGCACTATTTAAATTGCACAGTAAGCTAATCGTGGAGACACGGGGAAACTTTAATCAGTGGTCAAATCCTGTAGAAGCACTGACTGTCAAAGAGTGTGAAGCACTGAATTTACTCTGACTCTGTCAAAGAGTGTGAAGCACTAAATTTCTAATCTAAAATAATCTGCACGAAAGACTAGATTATGTACAGCGTGAAACCTTCGACGAAAGAATAAAAATCTGGTTTAATGTTTATATGAACTACAGCACAGCGACCAATGAGCTGACGTCAGGTTTAAGTTATTAGTTAGTTATTAATTAGTGAACTCCCAGTGTTTATTCCTGGTTTCACTGACGTCTACAGATGAACAGGACGGTCACTCCTGTACATATTCATCTCCAACATGTCTTCTCGGTACTCACCGAATGTAGTTTTTGGTATAAACCACATGCATTGCAGACGTAGCCTCCGTTAGCATTCTTCCTCCACAGGGAAGTCTTGGTGGTCAGGCAGTTTGCACAGAAGACGCCGCTACCTCTGCGCCGCTGCAAGAGCATAAAAAAGAGACAGAAATAATGAGTAAAAATAGATCAAACCAAATTTAAAAAAGTAAACAATAATTAGAAATAAGTAAAAGAAGGAATTGAGAAAACAGTGGGGTTTTTTTTTTCATTTACCCAAAACATTTCCTCTTGCATTGATTTACAATTCACTGGATAAAGTTTACAAAAGACCAAAACTAGACGGCAGATCTGAAATGATGGCTGAACAACTGGTGTTTGCTTCTAATGCTGCAGGGTCTCAGAGAGAAAACTCCGACTCCTCCGAGATAAATGTGCAGTCATTTTGACAAGTAGACTTCTGCAGACCAGGAGAGAGATTATTTATCCTTTCAACCTGTAGATGAAATGTACCAGTTTTTATTTAAGCTGCAGCAGGAGGTTTGCAGTCACGTCTCTGAATTTTTACACACACACACACACACACTCAGGCACACCAATCGACCAACGTAGCATAAAAACGTAGTGTGTGTATGGAATGGAAGGGAGGTGAAAAGGCCAATTGTCATGCCACCGCGCTCCATCACAGTAATGAGCCAATCACAGTGTTTCTCCATCCCATTAAGTCTGTGGCCTCATTCGCCACCTTTATGACCCTGGGACGACAACACACCACAGTTCCCTTCTCCATAAATCTGTCCATTCCCTCCACCTGTCTGTCTGTCTTTTCCTCACGCTCCTGTCTGTTCTTTTCAGTTCCATCCCAGCTTGGTTTTTCTGCTACCCTGTCTCCATCATCACCTCTGTTACATCACTTCCCCTCGTACAACACCAAGACAACGGGAACAAACACAAGTCTATAAGTTACGGAAATCGATTCTTGAACCACACACCGAAACAGTCCTTGAGACGTAAGGTAATGTGTGAGTAAAGAACGCATCCAGGGAACATTCTAGAAGAGTCCTTGATGAACAGGTCGAGTGGTGACCAGTTATGTATCAACAACAGGCATAAAGACAGAATCCATAGAGGAGTGGGTTATTGATTACTGTTTGGTTTCTTCAGATAAAGTGTCCATTTAAACTGAACTGAATTGATATTAGACATTTTATCAAATAAAACACTGTTATAATAAAGTACTGAATGATACTGAACTTACTGTATAGTTCACACAGCCAGTTCAACAGAATGTGAGCAGAGCTTTTACACTGTTGATGGATTTTGATTTTAAAAAAAAAGATCTCATAAAGAAAAAAACCTCAGTGGCAACATGGCAGATTTGAACCTGAAACCTTCGATCTAAGTCTGCTTCATTAACCACCAAGCCACTACTGCTGGGTTTTTTTTTTTTTTTGTAAAGTGTAAAGTTTCCACCAAATGTGACAACAACTCTGACTGCTGCCCATCTGGTTGCAGTGACCAGTCGTCACGACTCTAAATCACCACATGTTTCCTTGAGTTCCAGTACAAGGATGAGTGTTTTAATTAAAACGTTGGCTCCTCAACCAGCGTCGGTGTCGGTGCATCCCAAGTATCAACTTTCCTAGTTGTACTGTGTTGATTCATAAACTCAGAGTAGTATACCAGTTAGAACCCCATCGTCAAGACATACCATCAAATGTGTCTTTTCTGTGTTTAGTCTTGACTGCAGCTGCAGCTGATGATCAAAACTATGAGCCCATTCCACGTGCTGATAGATACAGCTCCTTAAAATGCACAGCACACTCTGCGCCTGGCGTCTTCCCCTTTATTATTTCTCCTCTGTGTTATGACAATATGTTTGTCTCTTCTCTCCTGAATCATGGGCAGATTGTCCACAGGGACCTCTACGTTCAGCCTCGCCTTCTTGTTGTTTTATCTGTGCCACTGAGAGCGTGGCATGTTTCTCTGGGCTCAGATTTAAGTTTTTCCCACCAAAGAGCCCACCACACTTCAGTCGGGGCCTTCAGACGTCTCAGAGCTGCAGATGGAAGACACTTCCAGCACATCCACTGAGCATCTGTTAGGTGGTACCAGCTCAGAGCAGAGGCTCCAGTGGGAACAACACTGTAATGTTTTGGAAAAATCCCAGGGAAACTTATCACTTTATGATGTTTAAGGGGGTCATGCTATACATATGTATATACGTGTGTATGTATGTATGTGTATATATATATATACATATATACATATATGTATATATACGTATATATATATATACATCTATGTATATATATATATACATATGTGTATATATATACACATATGTATATATATATATACATAGATGTATATATATATATACGTATATATACATATATGTATATATGTGTATATATATATATACATATATACATATATACACATATATGTATATATGTATATATGTATATATGTATATATATATATACACATATATACATATATGTATATATGTGTATATATATATATACACATATATACATATATGTATATATGTGTATATATATATATATATATATATACACATATATACATATATGTATATATGTGTATATATATATATATATATATATACACATATATACATATATGTATATATGTATATATGTATATATATGTTGGGGAAAAGGTATAACATTTGATTAGAGCAGACAAATTCGTTATTAGAGAAAAAAAACCCACAAATTCTGCTGCTGCCAAAATGACATGGTTTAATTCTCTCTTTCATTTCTATCATAAGTCTTAGATGAATATTTAGTTGTTTGTGGTGAAACTTCCTGTTTCCAAAAGTTAGTAAAAGTATATGTAGAAAGTACCTGAGATAATACTGGAGTGTGTGTGTGTGTGTGTGTGTGTGTGACATGTGTTTCTGTGCATCTGCCATCAGCAAAACACTGATTATCACACTTTTTAATGATTTGATCCTGTGTGTGTGTGTGTGAGATTTTGCTTTCAACACACACAGCATACGGTCACCACATGTAGGGAGACAAAGCCAGGTGATTGATTGATGTACACTTCCTGTTTCCATGTGTGTGTCTGTGTGTGTGCGCGCGCAAACGTACGGTGTTTCCAGCCAAACAGTGCGTCTGTCATCAAAATTCAGTTTCCCTCCGAGCTCCCAAATCACTCACATATGGCCCCACAGCTGCCCCTCATTGCAAGGAGAGTGCGCGTACACACACGCACACGCATAAGCACACACACACACACACCTGAAAATGTTTGCTTCCACTACCTAATGACGACGGGCGTGATTTGGACGAGATACAGCAATCTAAGAAGTGTGGGTCTCTGGGCTACTCTAAAATCTACCGGAATAGCACAGTGTGTGTTCCTTTGGTTGTGTGTGTGTGTGAGGGCGAGAGAGAGGGAGAGAGAGAGAAAGGTCCAAGTGTTAATTACACAGGAAGGGACAGAAACGGCCTCCACCACCTTCTCAAAGACATGCATTTATAAACCTAAAATCTGTTTTATAATCCTGAACTTCCCTTTTTTTTTAACCCTGCACTAATGCACACACAATTATATAATTTGTATTAAATGTCAAATTTAAATACAGGTTTGAGATTTCCACCTGAAACGCTGCACTTCCATCCACTGTTCATCTGCAGATGTGTGTGTGTGTGTCTGAGCACATTCTTCTTCCTGACTGATGACTAATACCTGGCCTCTCTCTCTCTCTCTCTCACTCTCTCCCTCTCTCTCTCACCCCAGTCTGCAGCTGAGGGCAACTGGTAATTAGAACTCTGGCTCTTAATGACATCTATTTATCTGCAGTCTATGATTCTGTTCAATTAACAGCAGCAGCAACACCCCCTGACACGCATACACACTTGCAGTACAGATACGCAAATATGCACACACACACACTAACTCACAAATAGTCACATTCATTAGCTACAAAATTAAACTTTCTCATCAACCTCTGCCCAATCCTGCTAAATTAAAGTGAGCTGAACTTCAACTAAACTTTAAATCTAATTCTAAAAACAACCGTGGAGCTTCTCTACCAATTAAGGAAACACAATGGTGGCTGGTCTATTCATTCACTAGTTACTACTCAATGTATCACCCACCCTCCAAAAAAAAGCATGAACCATGAACTGCATCATAATAAACTTGTTAAAAATTGTTTTTGTTTTTTTTTCATGTTATTTTATTTGATCTTTGTTTGTTTTTTTCATGTTATTTTATTTGATCAGCCTCACGGTGGTGATGATAAATAAACAGTAACAAACTACAGCTATGGCAGTGCGTAGATAAAAAAAGTAACATTTATGGGTTTAATAATGGTCGAAGCTATTTCTGCTCTAATGCTCTGCTGCACTATCAGGAAGGGTTTTTTTGTTTTTTTTACCCTTGTGGTCATAAAAAAACAAAAGTCGACTGAGCTGTTCTTTAGAATCTGCAGCAGTGAAACCAGGTTCATTTGAATGAGACGTTCTGTTTCTCTGCTTCCTCTGATTTGAACCTTTTTTTTTTTTTTTTTTAGACTTACATGTGACGCCACGTTCATATTCAACAGTTAAAGCGACTGCTTCAGTTTGACTCCAATTAAAAATAATCGTTGGTTTTTTTGTGGCGTGACTCAGAACTCGCACTAATGAATTATAGCTGCACAGGTTTATTCTGAATCAGAACGGACCGTGGACGCTGCTGCAGCCGCAGAGAGTCTGAAGCTGTGAGCTGCAGCTCCGCAGTCCATTTGGACTCTTTTGAAGCTTTGAATTTACAGATGTTATACAAACTGTTTACACAGCTCCTCCTTTTAAATCTTTGTAGAAAAGCTGCTCTGGTCAGATAAGCATCCACTGGGCTGGTTTGTGGAGGGAAAAAAAAAAAACTGTGCTTCTCATATTTACAGCCTGTACCTGTGACGCTGCAGACTCCATCTGCAACCAATGAGAGGAGGCATCTCCAAGCCTGCAGTGGACCTGGAAGCAATTTGACCTCAGAGTCTGTTGACCTATGTCTTTTGTAGGTCGTAATGCTAAAATATGTCTATTCTGGATTTATTTAGTAAAGAGGGTTTAAAAAACTGGTTAAAGAGTGCAGTTTGGAAAACACTTCTATCAGGGGGT